GACAGCAGGGGGCGCTCTCGCCTTTATTCCACATACCATGGCAGCTCATTTGCATGCGAGACAGGCCACTGAATTGGTTTTGCTGTCATTTCCGTCATCGCCGTTCCAGAGGGCGTTTTTTCAACATGATGGCGCTCTTCGGCATACAGCTGGTGTCTTCCTATGTGCATTACAGAATGTCGGCTTGTTGCCTTGGCCTGTGAAATCCCCAGGTATGAGAAATAACTAATGTAAAATCTAGCCTAGACTGTAGCAGATTTTACTGCAACAACTCCACCCATAAAATGACAAGAAGCAAGTCTACGCGTTTTCATGTTGTCATTCAAAAATCACGGAGACGGCAGCAGTTATTCATGGGACACCATTTCACACTTGAAATGACATTTATCGTGCATACCTTAACATGAGATCTGCAAACTTTAATCAAATGAATATGTTACTTAAACAAATACTTTTCCCAAATTTCGTTCCACGAAACAATGTTTTCTCGATGTTGGGATTACATTTTCCAACAGTATACATGTGATTCACCGGTTTGCGAATATTTTGTTACTCCATACACTTGCATGAATTGGAAAAAAATTGCTGTTTTCTTTTTTGCAAAATGAGCCAGAGATATCTTGCACAGTTAATAAAAAGAATCTTTACATCATTCTTGTGGGGAGAGATTCCTTTTACAAGTGCAATTTTTAAATGAATAAAATTTAATCAAAATGTCTTATAAACCCATTTTAAATTATTAGTATTTTTTTCTAATGCAGCTGGCAAATAGACCGTGATCTTTTATGCCATAACGGCTGCACAGACGTTACTCACTTTACCCAGGGGGCGCGTGTAATTTGAAGATAAGCCACGGACGCTGAGTAACAACGCCTCCGCAACGCTCTACGATCCTGTTGGCACCAGGACCTACGGTTCAAATTGGATTCCGAACCACTACAAACACCCATGGCACCGCCGGGATTCGAACCCGATACCTGTGGTACCGAGCGCCAGAGCGCTAGGCCATTCAGGCCCCTATTTTAAATTATTGATTACATAAAAAAAATTAAGTGACAGTTTATTTTTAAAGACTAAGAATTTTTTTTTTTTTTTCCCCATCCTATGTTTCATTTAATATATAATTTATTTAAATATGCAGGATAAAATATTTAAATGAACTGTTTTTTTATTTTGATAAAATTTATTTATTATTTTCTTTATATTTACAGTGATGAGCAGCCCAAGAAGGGAACAGGAGCATATGAAAGAAGTCGAACGTCATTATCGGCACCTTTGACCACGATATCCTCAACTCCTGTCACTACGACTATCTTGTTTCTTTCTATCGGTGGTTCAGTTTTTCTTGTTAGCCGCAGCTTTCTAGTGGTTCGAGAAGTATTAATCCATTCAAACATTTATGGAATCTTCATTTAGTTACAAAGATATGCAGGGTTGATGGTAACAGTTCAAAGGCAAAAGCTAAACTAGAAGAAAAATTTTCTCTTTAGAATAAAAACAATTCGTTTCCACTGCAACAGCTGGTCTCCACGGCAACAGCCCGTCTTCACGGCAACAGCGTAATTCTGAATCTGTTCCAAACGATTTTTTATAAAACTACCATGTGACGCTGCTTGGCTCGAACTAAAAGCATAAGAATTCCAACAACTCCCAAGTGAGGATGTCTTTTCAGCGTGACATTTTGACCTGTGATCTTTTACCCGTGTCCGAAGTGGACAAATCATTTATATCGGATGAATTCGAAGATGTTTTTGAATCTCCTTCATCTACTGGTCAATTTACTATGACATTATTTTAATATCAAACATGAATTTTGTAAAAAAATATTTTTTTAAATATTTTATCGTGATAAAATGTGAGTGAAAATTATTATTTTGCATCTCTGATAGTTATTATTTTGTATTCTTTTAATTTCAGCAAATCTATTCTGCATATATCGACTTTCTACATCAGGGATGGGCAAACTACGGCCGGCCCGGAAGATTCTATTCGGTCGCGGTCGAATTTTTAATTTGCGGTCCGAGGCAAATTAAAAGAAATATATATATGTATTATATATCCATCTCCTTTTTCTACTTTGATTAAATATTATTTTTACAAATCATTATCGAAAGTAAGTTTCCCACTCCCAGAAAATCAGTGCTATGTTTGCTTCATCTTATATATGTGAACAAGTGTTTTCAACTATGAACCTTAGAAAGAATTATTTCAGAAGTAGACTGGCAGATGAGCATTTAGCCTCGTTCCTTAGAATCAGTCCATCTCACTTCGAACCTCAATATAAGGAACTTTAAGAATGAAATTGCGATTTCATTTCTCTCATTAACATAATTTAAATTGTAATAATTGTATATTGTTTTTAAAATGTTAGAAAATTTATCTTGGCCCGCCAAACTTTTTTTTTTTTTTTTTTTTTCTTCGATTTTTGGCCCGCGACCGAAAAGTTTGGCCATTCCTGCTATACGCACATTTAGGTAACGTTGAGCATTAACACTTAATAATACATATCGATATGAGAATTATTAATTTCGATTTTTGTAGCGTATTTAATTCTGAACTATAATTTCATTGCAAACATTTTGTTTTTTATCTAGCCTACAAGTTAATAAGTGCCATATTGTGTATTTTTAATACGTTTTTATTAGTTTCACCTGTATGTTTGTTTGTAACTAACTCTTTGGGCTCGATTTTGCCCTACTTTTTTTTAAGCGATCAGATTTAATTTAAACGTTGTAGACTTATCAAGGACCGACGACACTAAAATAGTTTGATAAGTTTATTATCTCATCATGATTAGGATCATTAGGTTTAGTGATTTTATGAAGAGCAATTTAACCCATGGGTTAACGCAAGACATTCAAGCCTGCAAACGGTGGCGCAACGGTTAACGCGCCTGACTAACGGATCCTGGCCTTTGTTTTAATCGCAATTAAATCATTGTAAGAACTATAGTTCCAGTCCTCCGTACCGGGACCTCAACTCTAAAACACTCTAAAAAAACTCTTTGATTAACTCTAAAACACCCTTTAGAGTTAATCAAACTAAAAAGTAAAAAAAATAATTGTTAACATAAGAATAAAATCACTGACGAGAAAATGAATGTCACTGTTCTAAAAGCATGAGATGCTTTGCATGACGTTTTTTAAACTAACTCTGTATTTAGGAATGAAACTAGTGAAAAATTAAAACGATTGATATCGAGTACCCCACGCTTTTAGAACAGGGACATTCATTTTCTCGACAGTCATTCATTTTATTCTTATGTTAACAATTACTTTTTAGTTTGATTAACTCTAAAAGCGTATTTTTTAGTGTTTTTAAACTATAATTTTTACTCTTCATCCTCCACAACTGCAATACTTCTTTCTTCACATTTAGTTCAAAATATTTTTTTTCTTGATGATAAGGCATTTTAGGTGGATATTTCATAGAAAAGATTTCTACCATTTTACCTAAAAAAAAATGCCCACATTGTACATAGAATTTTGTACCGTGGATTACAAGCAGCTAAGGTTTTTTAATGTATAATCCAAGGAATCCAATGTAGGTTAATTAAGTAATTAAAAACTTAATTTCTTTTAACAGTTAATTACATTTTCAACTAAGCAGTTTATTGAATCTCTTAAAAACTATCATACAGAACATGTGAAAATCTACATGTCAATAGTGTTACAAAAATTCAATGTTATACATAAAAAAAATTTACGCCTCCGTCTCTCGAGTTCTTCACCAATTAGCTTTGATGAAATGCACAAAACAAAAGGGTTGATTTTTTTTTCTATCTTAAAAGTGAAAATTGTATCTAGTTGAAATGTATCAAATCACTAACAGCAGAAACTATCCAACAACAGTCAACGATAAAATAAGTGAGGGTTTTCTCTTTTAAACAAAGAAAATTTTATTTGTAGTTCAAATATATTGAAATACATCACTTACAACAGAAAGAATCCAACATCAGTCAACTGTAAAATAAGTGGGGTTTTTTTTCTTTCTTCTAAATTAAAACATTTTATCTGTTGTCCATATGTATTGAAATACATCAAATCAACAAAAAATATAAAACATCAATCAATTGTAAAATAAGTAGGTTTTTTTTTTTTTATCTTTTAAACTAGAAAATTTTATTTGTAGTTCAAATGTATTGAAATGCATAAAATCACTTACAGTAGAAACTATCAAACATCAGTCAACTATAAAATAAGTGGGTTTCTTTCTTTCTCCAAAACTAAAACATTTTATCTGTTGTTCATATGTATTGAAACAATCAAACATCAGTCAACTATAAAATAAGTCGGTTTCTTTTTTTCTCTCTTAAACTAAAACATTTTATCTGTTGTTCATATGTATTGAAATACATCAAATCAACAAAAACTGTGAAACATCAATCAACTGTAAAATAAGTAGGGTTTTTTCTCTCTTAAGCTTGAAAAATTTTATCTGTAGTTTAAATGTATTGAAGTACATCAAACTGCGTACGACAGAAACAATCAAACATCAGTCAACTATAAAATAAGTAGCCTTATTTATTTTTTTTTTTCCTATCTCTCTTAAAAGATAGGAAAAAAAAAAAATAAAAAAGGTTTATTGAATTTTATCTGCAGTTCATGTTTATTGAAATACATCGTGTCGCTTACAGCAGAAACTATTAAACATTAATGGAAAAATAAAATTATAACATTAATTAAACATTAATAACATTAATCAAAATTATGTTGTTGTTTCTTATCCCACTTGGCTGGCCAAGCCCACGAGCCCATACGTACTCATGATTGAAGGGGCAGGGAAGCAGCTTCTGTTGTGATGGAGCACCCGTAGGTAGAAGTCTGACTTTGGCTCCGTGATGATCTTACAGTCAGGAGACCGGGACTTATGGCTTAAAGTGGATTCCGAACCACTACAAACATCCATGGCACCGCCGGGATTAGAACCCGAAACCTGTGGCACTGAGAGCCAGAGCGCTAGACACTCGGCCATTCAGGTCCCCAAATTTGTGAATGCCCAACGGCACGCGGTGTTCCCAGGTGGTCACCCACCCAAGTACTGACCGCGCCCAATGATGCTTGATTTCGGTGAGTGTGGATGATTTTATTTTTATTGTAATCCCTTTTGTACCCCTGTCCCTTTATTTTAAATAAATCCGAGTTCCTCGCCGATCCCCCGACGTCAAGTCATCACGTCACGCATCAGATAAACTTTAAAAAATGAATGAATTTTTTTTTTTATATTACCTGTTTATAGTTCAAATGTATTGAAACAAATAAAGTTCACTTTCAGCAGAGCTATTAGACATGAGTCAACAATAAAATAGGTAACGGTTTTTCCTTTTTTTCCCCCGTCTTATGTAAGTTGAATTCAATGGCGTTACAAGAATAGAGTTAATGAGAATCAGAAAGCAACAAGTGCCCACGTTGCTCATATCCATTATAATGCCTAAAGTAGGAGCCAAAACAAAATAATCTTAACAAATAAAACTGTAAACGCACTTATCGTTACCGTAGCTCCCGTAAGTCTCTTAAGAGAAAATGTGTGTAATGAAAGGGTTAACATGCCGAATTTTTTGAATAAACAAATAGTTTTATCGGGAATTAGAAATCCGCAAATTTCAGCTAAAATATCTTTCTAACAAGAAGTTATTATGTGTGGAAATAGTTTCATTTTGACATTGGTTTGTCGTTCTACGGTCACTTTTTGCACGCTTTAGGCTAATTAGACCGGGACCTACAGCTTAAGGTGGATTCCGAACCACTCGCAAATATCCATTCCACCGCCACGATTCGAACCTGAAGCCTGTGGTACCAAAGACCAGAGCGCTATCCAACGACATGGCATCTGGAAACAACAACACAGTTAAGATTTCAGGCACTAACCAGAGCTGACATTTTAGGTCAGGCTTCACTAGAATGCACCAATAATAATAATATTGAATTTTGAAAATGTGATCGATGAGATGGTTAATGCAGATATCCGAATTAAATTTGCACAACCGAGTTGAACCAGGTCACTTTAGTGACACACTGGTAAAAAAAAAAATAAACTTTTGATATGGTCCTTAGGTATGAACCAGATAAAAACAGAAACCTTTGATGTATCTATGAGAATTGTGTCAAAAGACGTATGAAAGGCCAAAATTCTATTCCACACATAATAGAAATTTGCTTGAAGCAAGAGATGGTTTTAAATTAACACATAATGGCATCAGTATGAGAGTTTGAATCCTTTGCGTCCATATCATCAAATGGCTGGCCCTGGCCCCATCGGTGGCCCTGAAGACCCGTCTTCAGGGCCGGATTTTTCTATAGGCTAACTAGACTTCAGCCTAGGGCTTCCAAGATCAAGAGGGGCCTACATTCAAATTGTTAACAAAATTAGAATGACACTATTCTAAAATAGTAAACTCTAAAACACTGAATCGAGAATAAGGAGAAATTCTACACATATGACTAATAAGCCAACATAAAATGTATTGATTAAGATCAATCGGCTCATTGGGTCTGTTCGTTTTGTATAAACTAGATTGCACCAAAGTATAGTTCATACGTTCACTGATTGCTATGGCTAATATTGACGTGCCTTATATTACAGAGCTCTAGTTTGCTCTTGCATAAATAAAGTGCAGATTGGAACAGACAAACGAACAAACCTATTGATATCCCGACGTTCGGTTATATTCGTATTATTTCGATAATATGAAATGCGTGTTAATGTTATTAGAAAATATTCTTATTTTAGGATTGAGTACACAATCATTTGATTCTTCTTTTGAGTTTAGTAGGTTCAATACTTTAATGAAGTGTTTATAGACTATTGGAAAAAAAAATTTTGTGACAATATTTTCATTTCAAAAGGGAATTCTAGGTAAGTTCTCAACTTTTATTTATGCACAATAATTAGTAACTCAAAAAATTTTGTTCTAGATTATAACCAATAATGAATAAATGTCCAAATAAATTGTACTCGACTTTTTTTAATTTATTATCCGTGCCCCATTTTTTATAAAGAATAGTACCAATCCCAACATGTTTAATTTAACATATTGATATATATCCCAGTAATGATATATTTTCTTATCTCTCATTTAATTTACAAACTTAAAATGGGAGGTGAAAGGTCCTCGTAAGTGGAATAGCCTAGGGCCTCTTTTCATCTAAACCGGCCCTGCACATAATGGCATCAGTATGAGTTTTGAATCCTTTGCGTCCATATCATCAGATGGCGAGAGACCTCGTCTTACCCTTATTGGACTACTTAAAGGACAAGACACAAAACACGCTGAAACATAGCGGACGCTAACCTGCAACACCCATTACGATGTGCAAACATCGAAATCAAAATCGATTTGCAAAGCTAAGAGAAAAGAGTGGATAAACAAATATTGCACTAGTAAAATAAATATTTCATTTTTTATTTCGTTTTATATTTATATATATTTTATATTTCATTTTTTTAGTGTTATCTATTTCTTTACAGTGTGCGTTTAGTATCATTGCTATTATATTATCTATGTTTACATGTCAGAATAACAGTAAACACAAACATAATAACTCATTATGTTTCCATTTTCACTCAAAAAGAATGTCTATAGTGGGTTTGAATCTAACATGGGGATATATAATTTTATATGCAGCCCGCGGAGTTAGGATGCATTTCCAAAGTGGCCTGCAAGATCATTTGGATTGGCCACCCCTACTCTAAATAGACATCTTTGAAGACATTCCAGCTAAGAAGTGTGCACTCCCAATAATTAAGAAGCTTCTATCATGGAGCCCAACAAATGGATCAAATCTGCATCTGCTGAAAAATTATTATATCAAAATTAAAGAGAGTTTTTAAAAAGTTGAAGCATCTGACTCTTTAAAAAGTTGAGCCAGATGTTTAAAAATGAATTAATGGAAATAGAGGAAAAAAGATACAGGTTGGTTGTAGGATGTTGTAATAGGATGTCTATGTTGAAATTTTTAAAATCGATGTTTCGTACATCTAATATCGTGCTATTATGACGTATCGATTTCATACAGATTAAAAACTTCAAACATTGAAATTGATTTTGAATCTAAGGAACACAAGCGAAGTCTCCTGACAACCAAATTTGAAAAAAATTAATAATGATTATTTTCTTGTATGAATTATGTTCATATCAAAAACGAATGTGGGGAAGGCGAATTAAGAATATCTATATTTAAAGCCACTCCCTAATATAATGATCTGATTGCCTGATAGCCAATTGGCTAGTGCTCTGGCCTTTGCTACCACAGGTTTCAGGGTCGAATCCTGGCGGTGGCATGGATATTTGTGAGTGGTTGGGAATCCACGTTTAACTGTAGGTCCCAGTCTAATTAGCCAAAGTGTGCACAAAATGACCGTCGAGCGACAAACCAAAACCCTAATACTATAAATGTTAAAGGATTGTAAATATTATGCAGCATGTTTCTTCAATGAAAAGAGAAGAAAATCAGTATACTGGAATAAGTCACTTTATAACATTAACTAATGCTCAGTTGTATATACAAACTTACCAAGGCCAGACAATTTGTAAAATTTATATTTCTGCAAAACAAGCAGATAATTTTGTATTCAGAAACGTGAGTCTGAATTAAATCCATTTGAATTTTTAATGGCTTTTACTTAAAATTCATATGGTAAATAAATCAATATCCCTCTTAATTACAAACTTAAGAAGAAATTATAAAATTCATTAAGAATGTTATGGAGAAAGTCTACATTCTTATTGAGATCTCGCTCTGGCAAGAGTCGATTTTTTTCCACAAGTCAAAGGGACCCCATTTACGGCCAGTTGTCAATAGCAGCCAGAGATAACGTGGGTTGCTTTTCACGGTCAGAACGACGACCCTCGGACAGAAAGCCACTCGCCCTTTATGTGCTCTCATCTGAACGGGCTTAAGCCACTTTAATCGTTCGTATACGAAAAGGACAACAAACATATTAATCTGTTTGCTGTCACACGCAGCCAGTGATAATGTCAGTTGCTTTTCGCGGTCAGACGGAGAACCTCAGGGCGAAAGTCACTCGCCCTTGTGCTCTCAACTGGACTGTCTTAGGTGTCATCCGTATTTTTAACCACTTTAATTGTTCTTAGCCACGAACGGATAACACATATTGGTTCTACTGTTACTGGCAGTCAGAGATAATGTGGCTTGATTTTCGCGGTCAGACGGAGGCCCTCGAAAGCGAAAGCCACTCGCCCTATTCGCACTCATCAGGACGAGCCTAAATGTGTCATTTGTATTATTAGGTCATTTTAATCGTTCATGTACGAAAGGACAAGCACATTAGTCTGTTTAAGCATCACTCGCGTACAGAGATAACGTGGG